TATGTATGTATGTATGTATGTATGTATGTATGTATGTATGTATGTATGTATGTATTGGGGCTCCTATGCATGTTTTTCTCATCTTATATATAAAAGCTTAGATCATGCAGCGATTCAGCTAGATCATTTATGGCCATGAGTTCTACCTTGGTTCCTACCTTTTTTTATTTATTTACACACACACACACACACACACACACAAAATACTTACATTGATTCATAACTCTCAAGCTGCACAGATTTGGTTTGGACAAAGCCAATTGTCCCACTAGTTGTGGATTTCCCTATAAACCACTGAAGACCTGGAATGAGAAAGCCGATCACTTCTAGGACATCTCCTTTGCAATAACTTAACTCATCCCATCCTTTCCCTCTGTGATCTTCAATGGCTGTGCACCTCCCTTGGCCTGAAAAATAGAACGAAACAGCTCTTGCGTCAGAGGGCTGAACAATGGCATCATTGTCTCACAGCAGCACCATGGCTAGAGGCAGTGGAAGGCGTGCGTACAATTGAAGCCAGATAACAAGAACTCTTTGTGTCCATGACATTTTTGTTTTTTTTCAGTAGCTCAGGCTTCACCTGCAACCCCAGCCTGTTCTTTCAAACTCCAAGCAGTTATTTATTCTACAGATGTATAAGAAGCCCTGAAGACATTTCATTTCACTTTTTTTTAGGGGGGTGGGAAACCGTTATTAGGGAAAATATTTGCCCTGTGTCATGCATTTTTGCTACTTTTTTCCTAATCTCCTGCCTTCTTTGGTTCTTCCCTGCTTCTTTAAAATACAGCTCCCATCATATAATATCTTCTTGGGATGATCTCTTGGTCTCATATAGCTAATTAGTGACTTTTTCCAAATGCCACTGAAGGCAATTTAATTTACACTGAGAGTAAGCTGGTCTAAATTGAAGCTTGTTGCCAATCAGGAAGGCAAATGAAGACTGTTCAAGGCAAGGCTTCCTGAACAAGTAAACACTTTTCACTGATTGCTGGAAAATCCCTGGGGAAAAAAGAAACAGCACTTTAAACGTTGACAAAGTGTTCACAAAATTCCCCACTTTCCCAGCAAGCCATACTACAATAAACGCAACAGGGATGGTCTTTCTGAAAACCCAGGTAAACCCAAAGCTCCTCAGAAAATCAGAGCTTTGGAACTGGAGGGGATTTTTCTCAACATTTTTAGACTCCAAACTAATATGTTCTTAAGATAACTAAGTAGAAGGGAAAATGTTTTCCAAGGGTTCCATTTGTTAGTTTAAATAAGACAAACATCATACTTGGCAGTAATTTTTCTGCCTTTTAATGAACCAGATCACTCGGAGATGGGCAACCACCATACTCATGCTAGGCTGCATAGGTTAAGGGTAGGGGCCATACATGCAAACATACACTGACAGGCTTCCTCTGACTCCCCCATCAAACACACCCACCAACCCTTTCTTTACAAACATACAGTCCCCCCCCCCTCAATTTCCCATACTGAAATCCTTTTTCCAGCAAAGATCAGTGGTGAAAATTGACAATTCCTCTCATATATTTTTCTCCCTCCTGCTGGTTTACAGTCACTTTCCCATTCCATTCAACAACAGCACTGCTTACGATGAGAACAAATGGAAGCCAGAAAATTTTGGGTTCAAATACACACAGTGATACAAAGAATTTTAAAGATTAATATTCAGTTGAAAGCAGAACTTTTCTTGTTGGGACTAGTGGATAGACAATTAGAAAAAAGTTATAGAATATTGCTTTTATGTATGATTACTGCTGCGAGATTATCATATACACAAAAGTGGAAAGATTTTGAAATTCCCACAATGGTGGAATGGCTGGTGAATTAACAGAGATGGCAAAATTGACTTGTTTGATTAGAGAAAGATCAGTAACTACATTTATTAGTGGCTGGAAACCCCGTGTGGACTTTTTGCTGAAAAAAGAAAAAAATGAACTTGTGATTTATGGGTTTGATTATTAGAAAGGGTAGACTATGGAAAGAAGGAAATTATGTTGTAACCTTAGAGAGAGAGGTTAAAATATAAATGTATTTGTAACTGCTGTTAAGAAGATCAGAAGCCACTTCTTTATAACTTTCTTTTCCTTTCTCTTCCTTATTTCTTTCGTTGCACTTTTTAAAATCATATTAATTTTCTTTCCTTTCCTTACTTTTTTCTTTCATAATCTGTATTGCTTTTATTCTTTTAAAACAGTGTATGGACTACACCCACCCAAGTCCAGATGGGAGATTCTACAGAAGGTTGTGGAGAATAACGGGGCTAAGATCCTGTGGGACTTCCAGATCCAGACGGACAGGCAGGTACTAGCCAATCAACCAGACATCG